GTGCACTAACCCATACACATAAAATACCCATACATATAAAATAAATATTTTTTTTGGAAGGGGGTCTTTTCCGTGTAGCCCTGCCTATCCTGGAACTCATTTTGTAGACCAGGCTAGCCTCGAACTCACAGAGATCCTCCTGAGTGCTGGGATTAAAGGAATGTACCACCACGCCCACCAATAAATCTTGGAGGGAAAAAGGGGTCAGGTGTGGTACACATCTTTAATTCCAGCACTCACGAGGCAGAGGCAAGAGTTTGAGGCCAGCCTGGTTTACACAGTGAGTTCCAAGACAGCTAGGGCTACACAGAGGGACCCTTTTTCAAAAAACACAAATGAGAAAAAGAGCTAGCATGTACATAAATATGAGCATATATGATCTAGCACTGAAGAGGGAGAGGCAGAAGGATTCCTGGAGTTTGTGGCCAGCTAGACTATCTCAATGAGTGAGCTTTAGCCAAATGAAAAAAAAATCTGTCTCAGAAAGAAGGTGGAGGGGCTAGAGAGAAGAGTTGGTGGTTAGGAGCACTGACTCCTCTTCCAGAGGACCTGGTCTTGACTGCTAGTCCCTACATGGCAGCTCACAATCATCTGTAACTCCAGTTCCAAATCTGGCCTCTGCGGGAACACTATTTATACACACAGTATACAAAAACACATTCGGACACTTAGAAGGCAGAGGCAGGCAGATCTCTGTGAGCTTGAGGCCAGCCTAGTCTACAAAAGCTAGTTCCAGAAGAGATTCGAAAGCTACAGAGAAACCCTGTCTCAAAAAAACAAAACAAAAATACATTCAGGCAAAACACAAACATACATAAAGTAAAATATGAATATTAAAAACAAAAAGACAAGAATCCCAGACAGACAAAGACAGACAGTGAGCAATAGCTGGGCAACTATGAGTTTAGAGGTTTTTTTAAAATGTCTTTTTAAAGCTTTACATCATGATTTTTGTCTCAGTTTTCTACCTATAAAATGGAAATGTCACCTACTTGTACAGCTGTGGACATAGAACAAATACACAAGAAACTTCACCCCTTCTATGACTGAAGCGCTGGATGAGAGCAGCTGCGCAGGCTGCTTGACAGCTACTGCTGGAGGCACCAGAGCCTGCAGCACACATCATAACCTGCCCCTGGCATACGTGACCGCTGACATTTCAGTCTGCTCCAGGTCTCTCAGGGTGGGGCTTCTTAGGGCTGTTCCTACTGTCTGTCTGAGAATGAACTCATCTGGTTGTCAGAGCTTAGGTAGCGGGAGTGGCCCTGCCTGTCCTAGGAGTTCTGGATAGCAACCATGGCCAGCAACTGTTTTAAAATGCTTCATGTGATCCCATGAAGAATACTGAGGTAGATGGGTACCCTGTCCCTGCATTAGTGCATGGATTTTATGTCTCCAACAACCTATCCTGGGACCCAGCTCCTCCACAGTGGCTGTTTGAGTATTGGTATTCAAGAGTCCTTGCTCAGTGGTTCTAGTTTCTTCAATTACAGCCCCCCCCCCCCAAAGGCCTAACCCACAGTCATTCTCTTCTCAAAGAGAAGAGAACCACATCATTAGGCTGGGATTAGAGTGAGATCAGAGAGGTACCTAGCAACAAAATTCAAGCTTTTCATTATTAAAGGCAGGGATGTCTTAAAAATGAGACTTCAGGCTGGGCAGTGAAGGTGCAAACCTTTAATTCTAGCACTTTGGAGGCAAGGTAGGTGGATTTCTGTGAGTTTGAGGCCAGCCTGGTCTACAGAGCAAGTTCCCAGACAGTCAGGGCTACACAAAAACTCTGTCTTCAAAAACAAACAAACAAACAAAAAAGTTTTTTTGGCACTGGTTGCTCTTCCAGAGGAACCTGGTTTAATTCCCAGTACCCACAAGACAGCTCATAATTGCCTTTAACTCCAGTTTAAGGTGATCTGACATTTTCACACAGACATAGATACAGGCAAAAAAAGACCCCACCGAGAGAGAGAGAGAGAGAGAGAGAGAGAGAGAGAGAGAGAGAGAGAGAGAGAGAGAGAGAGAGAAACATCATTACATTTTTGTACCTGAGTGCCTCCCTGAAGTCTGGACCCTGTCCTAGAGCCTCAATATCCCTTGGCTCATCCTCCATCAGTCCTAGCACTTGTTTAGCACAAATCATGTGGTCCTTTCCCCAATCCTCAAGCTCCTCAGGTAGCTCCTGGGCTGGTATACCACAGTCAGCCTACATGGCAAGTGGGGCTCAGACTAGATCCTTCTAGATCTAGTAGGACAACAACTCTTGGGATGGTTAGCAGGTTAAAAACATGTTCATGAGCTCAGGGGATGGTTAAGTGGAAAAAAAAGCTTGCTGCACAAGTATGGGCGTCTAAGTTTGGATTTCCTAGTACCCATGCAAAGCTGGGTGTGGCTGTGTGAGCCTGTATACCCAGCACTGGGTGAGGTGGAAAGAGAAGGATTGTTGAGGCTTGCTGACCAGCAAACTAACTGATAAAACGCAAGCTCCAGGTTCAGTGAGAGAAGCTGTCTTAAGGGAACGGGGCAGAAAATGTTAGAGAGGACATCGGATGTCCTTTGGCCTTACACATGTGCTGGAGTGTTTGTGTGTGTGTGTGTGTGTGTGTGTGTACGGGCGCGTGTGCGCGCGCGCGCGCGCGCGCGCGCACACACACACACACACACACACACGCTCATCTTCTAAGAACAAGAAGAAAATTAAACAAACCCAACAAAAACTACCAGCATCTGTATTCTCCTGAGCTAGACAAACTTATTTTTCATGTTTCTCTTCAATATTTCTAAAAAGGACCAGACAAAATGATCTTATAAAATTGGAATCAAGCTGGATATAGACTCTGAGCTTTTTTTAGTCCCCCCATTTCAGAATGCACTGAGGCGGCTCCGCCAACAATCCTAGCAACAGTCTTACTTAGGGGACAGAGGAACCACAGCACAAAGGAGAAAAGGCAAGGACAAAAGGTGACTTCTATTACAGAGTTACTGTGTAGTCAAGGATTCTACCCTATGTTGCATCTCAGGGCACTAGAACTGGAAGGGCCTTTGGTATAAGGTAAAGAGAAGTCTACTGAGGAAGGACCACCCACATCCATTTTCCCATGCTCATATGGATCTTACAGGGATCCTAAATTTCCCCAAGGCTGTGCTGTCCTCTGGATCTGTCTGGGGAAATCCCTGGATCTCTTGAGGTCCCTGATCTGGTGAAGCGCCTGTAACTGAATGAGGGCCAGGGTTGGGAGAGCAAACACCAGAGAGCTAGTGAAGGTAGTGACTACTCTGTCTCCAAGCGGTAGAAATGAGAAGTCAGACCTAGGTAAGGGTCAATAAAGGATTTTTGGAATTAGACCGGCTTTCCCACGTATCCAGCCTCCCTGTTCCATCCAGGAGGAGGATGTGTCTGAGAATGGTGAGAAAATTTATATGAAAGCTACTCAGAATAAGAGAGTGGACCCAAAGCCTCCAGAGCAGTGGGCCTGCAGGGAATGATGTTAGAAGCAACCAAGCCAGTGTAAATGCCCCCACAGGACATGAGGGCATGGGCATGGGCAAAGAGTCAGATCCAAAAAGCTCTGCTGTCCCTGTCCGGCTCAAAGGTGTTCTTCTTCCACTTGTGTGCCAGAGCTTGGTTGCTATACTCATGAGAAAGCCAGCTCCCAGCTCCCACTGCCAGGTCCCACACCAGCTAGAGCTCACGGCTGCTACGGACAGACTACTCGCCCATTCCTCCCAACATGCCAACACGGCTCACAGGTGATGTGCAGTTGTGGCTGGAGGGAGGGCACAGGGCAGATCAGACCTATCTTCACACTGAGAGGCCCCCACCAGGACATCCTGTCCTAGAAGAAGACTCACGGGCACGTCACCCACCTCTGTACCAATTTATAAGCAGAAACAGCAGGGAGACTACCAGACAGGATGGATCTTCCTAATAGGATTAAGTTCAGACTATTCCGGAGAATATTTGGTATCCCAAGTGGACCTAGGTAAGGAAGCTCCCTTTCAGTCAAACAAAACAGAGGTGGAAAGCTGGGGAAAGACAGAAATGCGGGATCATTGTTTTTCTGCCCAGGAGTATGAGATCTAGGAGAGGTGGCTAACTGAAGACGGCCTTCAATCAAACATGCTGGTCCTTTCCAGGACCCACGGAGAGTCAGTGGGGGCAATCACAAAGACTTTCGAGTCTTCTCTTTATTCCCAAGCACTCTTTAGGCAGAGCAGAGTTTACACGAACAGGCAGTAGTGAGGGAGGCAGAAGCCTTGGCCTCCACCTTCCACCCAGGCTTTTCTATGCCTGCCAGCTTAAGAGACCAGTGCGCAGGAGGGAGTGCTCAGCAGAGCCTGAAAGGCCGCCAGATCTGGCTCGCAGGAGATCAAGGAGACAGCACCTAGATGTCTCCATCCCCCTCAAAGGCTCCCTCTGGGTCAGGAGGGTCTGTCTTTTAACCATCATCTGTTAGTTCTGCGCTCTGCCCTCTTAGCCAAGATCTCAACAGCCGATTCTACTTTCCAACTTGCCACAACTTGCAGCAGCATCTCTGTAAGCCCGAGTTGCTGGTCCAGCAGGGGCTGTGGTGTACACAGCCCGCTGCCAGGCAACAGAAGAGGGCTCGATGCAGCACAACCAGGGCCGGGCAAAACTGCTCTGGCGTCTGAGGTCTAAGAATCACGGACTAGCATTCGCTAGGCCCTCCACTTACTCTGAACGGTTGCCTACAAGCAGAACGGCATACCGACTCTGGGAAGCTATTCATCTGTGAGTCAAAGAACCTGAATTGGAAGCCCCGACATTTTCGCCCCAGGGAAACTTAGGACTCTGGTTCCCGGCCTACTCTCCGCCAAGCGGCTCTGGGGGCGGGGCTCACTTCCTCCCCAGACAGCCGCGTTCTCCCTCCAGGATGCCAGGACCCAGGCAAGCACGGCCACCCGCAGGCCGCTTCTCCTAAGTAGGTCCCTTCCCGGAACAGGACCGTCCTTTGAAGGCCACTCCAGCCTATGCCAGCTCCTACCGGGCTCCAGCAGATGAGCGCGTCGGTGTCCGGGTCGCTCACGAGGGTCCACAGCTTGGTTAGGAAGGCCGGGACGTTGCTGGGCCCCGCTGCACCGGGGCCCACGACCAGATCCATTTCGGACAAAGCTGGCTGAGGCTGGGATGGCGTTCTAGAAGAGTGGCTGAGAGCTGAGCTAGTGTCGTCGCTGTCCCTGCTGTCCGGGCCGCTCCGCCGCCCGCTGCGCACACACAGTAAGGCCTCGCATGGCCGCAGCCATCTTGCGACCGGCGCGCTCTCGCCAGGGCCGGTCCTGTATCCCGTGGTGCGCAGGCGCCGTGACCTGCCCCGCCTACTTCGCTGGGCCCGCCCCTGGGCGGCCCGCCGCTCTGTACGGCTGCGCAAGATGGCTTCACCCCGACTGCTCACCAATCAGAGCCTGGTTGGGCGGGGCCTGACTGAGGGCACACGAGGCGCGCTCGCTGCCGGAAGCGACAGTCTATCGGTTGCCGGTGCCGCGCAGCATGGCCGGGGCGTGTGGTAAGCCCCACATGTCACCGGCATCGGTGCCCGGGAAGCGGCGTTTGGAACCCGATCAGGAGCCGCAACCACAAGAGGTAATCTCGGGGTGGCGGGTTGCATCCCTCCGTGAACCAGGGGTGCACGTGGCAAGGCCAGGGAGGCCGGGCCGTGGTTCTGTGTCTGGTGTCTTGCGGGACGCCTAGAGCCCGGAAGATCCTCGTCCTGCCCGGGGTGTTATTTTGGAACCCTCAGCAGAGCACTCCCTGCGCCTAGGGGCGCTAGAACCCGGGGTAGTTTTGTGACTTGAGCCGTGTTAAGGAAGGAAGAGACCTTTACGTGCCCCTCACCACAATCTCTGAACCTTCCCATCTGTGCTTCCTCCCCCAGAAAAGATTTTAGTTGCGCTCCCATGCCGGTATGTCAAGTTGTGTTGTGAAACAAAAGAGGACGTGAGAATATAGAAGCCTGAATAGGAGCCAGGGCATCCAGCACAGGTTGTCATGGAGTTATTGCTGCTCGTAGGGCTTGCTGGTGGGGCTCCAGCAAACCCCAGGTGGTAGAAGGCATGCCCAGCCATATCCCTTACAGACGACTCCACAATTCATTGGATTCTCTAAGCTGTCCCCCATGTTTTGCGAAATGTACCCAAGCTGCTTCCTCCATGGAGTTCTAGGTAATAGCCCCTTAGTAGTTGTTTGTGTTCTGACTATTTGGACTACTTTTACTGTGGTATGCAGCCGAGGTTTTGGAGATGTCAGTAAGAAGGCAGTCACTTGAGCTGTGAATAGTTGGGAATGGAGGAGTCTCCAGCTAGGCAAGAGTTTGCCAGTGGCAGTGGCACGCATCCCGTTAATCGCAGCACTCAGGAGACAGAGGCAGGTGGATCTCTAGTAGTTTGAGGACAGCCATGGCCACGTATGGAGTTCTAGGTTAGTCAGGGCTGCATGGTGAGACCTTGTATTAAAAACAAACAACAAAACCATAAATCCGAAAACCAATTAAACGATACTTAGCCTATGGAAAAACAGTGAAATTGAAATTTCTGCAATCTTGTGCTTCCTAAAGATTGTTCAAGTTCTTGCTCAACTTTTGAAGGCCAGTGATAAAGACCTGTTCACAGTGCATGCATGTCGTATTGTGCTAGATGTGAAATGGCCTCCAGACAATAGGGCTGTACTCAGAGAATAATTTCTACTCCAAGAAGAGAACAGGTGGGTTTTCTTAGTTGTTGTTCTATTGTTGTGATGAACCACCATGACCAAGGCAACTTTTAAGAGGAAATGTGTAGCCAGGCAGTCACAGTGCACACCTTTAAGCCGACACTCAGGAGGCAGAGGCAGGCGGGTATCTGGGAATTCAAGGTTAACCTGGGCTGCAAAGTAAGTTCCAGGATAGCTAGGGCTACACAGAGAAACCCTGTCTTCCAAAAACCAAAGCCAACCAACCAACCAAACAAAAAGGAAGCCTGTAATTGGAGGCTTGCTTAGTCAGTTTCAGAGACTTGGTCCGTGACCGTCATGGCGGCAGGCAGGCATGGCATGGCACTGGAGCGGTGGTAAGAGCTTTTAGTAGCTGAGCTTTCTCACATCATGATCAGCAGGCAGAGAGAGAGAGACAGACAGACAGTCTGTTTTAGGCTTTTGAAACCTCAAAGCCCTTCACAGTGACACACCTCCTACAACAAGGCCACGCCTCCTAACTTTTCCTAAATACTCCACCAACTGGGAACCAAACATTCAAATATCTGAGCATATGAGGGCCATTCTCATTCAAACCAACACACAGGTTTAGTTTATGATGGGTAAATTTCAGTTCATTAACACTCCTCTTCAGCCTTCCAGCTTGCCCATCAGTGGCTGGTCCTAGTCCTCAAGGTAAAGAAACTTCTACTGCAACTAGTCAGAGCCTTCAGGGGTTTCTGATCCTCCCAGGTCCACAGCCCCATTCCTAGCTAGTGACCTTCCAGTTCTGGGACCCTTAGGTGCCAGGGTAGGGTGTGGAGTTTGTCAATAGGGAAACATTGGTTTTGGTGACACATGAGTGGGAAAATCCTGTAATTCCTCGAAAGGTCCCTCTGTTGCGGGGCACTAGGGATTGGTGTATCTGTCCTGGGGGTAGGTTCTGTTAGCAGGCAGGAGATGAGGGCTCAGGTTGGGTGGATGGTGTTGGAGCAGGTGGAGGCATGTGACCAGGGACACAACTTTCCTGTGCGTGGTTCCTGGCTTAGCGAGCCTGCCAGGTGGCAGTTATTAAATACTGTGGTTCCTTGCAGCCCCCTCTCCTCTGCGGCTCTGACGCGAGTCTCTCCGACAGCGACAGCGAGGAGAGTGTGTTTTCAGGCCTTGAAGATTCTGGCAGTGATAGTAGTGAGGACTACGATGAAGGAGTGGATGGAGCCGATTGTGAGAAGGACGCCAAGAGAACGGAGGAGACCTCTGAGGAACAGGCACAGGTGGGTGAGGGGGGAGCCTCCACATCGTCCTTCCCATGGTGCCTTCAGGAACCTGGTCCTCTGTCCATCTTCACACAGTCGAGCTCCAGGACTGTAGCTTCCAGCCTCTTGTCTGTGCTTTACTGAGAACTGTGGAAGTCCACATGCCTGTGTCTTTGCCCCTCCCACTTCGAGGCCACATCTATGGGACGGTAGGCTGACGCCTGGTCTAGGAATAGACGGAGTTTTCTAGAGGCAGGAGCTGCTGGAGGCTAGCCCAGCTGCCCTGGAGCCAGCAGCGATGGATTGCTGTACTGATGGGGAATGCTGCACTCTTTTTTTTTGCTTGATAAAAATGAAAGAAAAGCTTAATTTGACTAAAATGCAGCAGTTCAAAGAATTCCTCAAACTGGTTTGTAGTGGTTTACACTTCAGTGGCCCTGGTGTCCTGGAAATCATGGCCTTGGCTAATCAAATCTGCTGTCAGGTTGGAACCAAGAACAGGCCTAGTTTGTCTCGGTTATGGTAGGTCAAAGAAATGTTGACCATGGTAAGATTGGAGAGGGGTTAACTATTCCTCTTGCTAAGTTTCTTGTTTTTGTGGATTTTGTTCTGCTTTGCCTTGGTTTTATGTGGTGAGGTGTATAAGTGCATTGTTCTCGTGTGTGGGCTTGTACGTGAGGGTGAGTGCGTGTAGAGCCCAGAGTTGATGGTGTCCTCCTTGATTCCTCTCCACCTTATTCTATTGAGCAGGGTCTTTCACTGAGTCCATAACCAGTGTGAACCAGTTATCTCTTTCTTCCTCCCTATCTTCTCCTGCTCCTTCCCTCCCTTTCTCTCTGTCTCCCCACTGTTACTCTTCTTGTTGGTTCTAGGGGTTTGACCCTAGAATGTCTTGCAGGGGAGGCAAGACCTCCACCACACCTCAGCTGGTACCATCTTGTTCTCATTTGGTGTTGAGTAGTTTTGTGAGCAGTTAGCCATTCCCATTGATGGCCATTCGACTCCTTTTTTTCCACTGCTCTTTTTTTTTTTTTTTTGAGATTTATTTATTTATTATAAATACAGTGTTCAGACATTCAGGGCACCAAATCTCATTTATTACAGATGGTTCTGAACCACCATGTGGTTGCTGGAAATTGAACGCAGGACCTCTGGAAGAGCAACCAATGCCTTTAACCTCTGAGCCATCTGTCCAGCCCAGTTTTGATTTTTTAGAACATGCATTTGAGAGAGTGCTGGAGAGAGATGCACTGACTGTTCTTCCAGAGACCTGGGTTTGATTGCCAGCTCCCATAATGGCAGCTCGCAATCATCAGTAACTCCAGTTCTAGGGGGTTCCAATGTCTTCTAGCCTCTGCAAAAGCGGGAGCTGCTGGAGGCAGCTGCCCTTGGGACCAGGGGCGATGGATTGCTGTACTGATGGGGAAGCCTTTGAGCAGGCATGGGATACACAGACACACACATGCAGGCAAATACTCGTACACATAAAATAAAACATTTAAAAACTTGGTGTGGAAGTATGTGTGGTGTGTGGTCTCCCCCTCATATGTTATTGTTCCCATTATATCAGGAAGTCTTTCTGCCTTCACCCTGCAGGAATGTGAGACAAGGTAAGGATCTGGTGTGTGCAGCATTTCCTCTGATTGCTGGAGAGGTCTGACTTAATGCCACCTTTAACAAGACTGGCTTGCTAGGTCTCCATATAACTCTGGGGCATGGCAGGTATCTTGGCAGGCTTGGAGTCCATGTATTAGCGCCATCTGGTGGAGTGTAATATAGGAACTGTGGGTTTCTGGGGCTGCGGAGGAGGTGTCCAGGAACTCTCCCAGGAAGTCAGTTCAGCTCCCTTGAACCAACACCCCTGCCTCCCTGCTCTTGTACTTGTCTTCTGTTACAGGCTCTGAAGGAGGGAGCAGGTGTTCCCCACCTGGCCCAGAATTGTACATTGCATGGAAGTCAGGTGAGGCAGGGTACAGAAGGGTTTGTGTCCCTGCGCTGTAGTGTCATCTTGCAGGGCAGAAGGGTGTGTGCCCTACAGGGTCTGGTACATTCTGTCCTAGGAAGTTGACACTCAGAGTCTATCCTGTATATTGAGTCCTAGATATGGCTCCTAATGAGAACATGCAGGACATTGTCACTTACGTTCTCGTTCTGAAATGAGCAGTCCGTGGGCAGAGTTTCATGGCTGTCAAACCATGTGTCCAGGGCCACGAAGTGTCAGTATAGGCTGCTTCCCTCTAGCGGGTAACGCAGCCCTCAGGTTTAGGAAGGGCAGCCTTTTGTGGTGGGGTGAGAAGAGCATAAAGATTTGTAGTTATGTTCTATTTGTTAATATTA